GTGGATTCAACGGTTGGCACTGGTTCAATGGGTGATGTGGATTCTACGGTTGGCACTGGTTCAACGGGTGATGTGGATTCAGCGGTCGGCATTGGTTTAACGGGTGATGTGGATTCAACAGTCGGCACTGGTTTAACGGGTGATGTGGATTCAACGGTTGGAACTGGTTCAACGGGTGATGTGGATTCAACAGTCGGCATTGGTTCAACGGGTGGCGTGAATTTAAGGGTCAGCACTGGTTTAACGGGTGATGTGGATTCAACGGTTGGCATTGGTTTAACGGGTGGTGTGGATTCAAGGGTTAGAACTGGTTTAACGGGTGATGTAGATTCAACGGTTGGCACTGGTTCAATGGGTGGTATGGATTCAACGGTTGGAACTGGTTCAATGGGTGGTGTGGATTCAACAGTTGGCACTGGTTCAATGGGTGATGTGCATTCAAAAGTCAAAGCTGGTTCAATGGGTGGTGTGCATTCAACAGTCAGCACTGATTCAACAGGTGGTATGCATTCAACGTTCGGCACTGGTTCACCGGGTGATGTGGATTTATCAATTTGTGAATTATCTATCTGCGCTGTTCCATCAGGGAGATCTTTCATTCCCTGACCACAATGATTAGTAAAAGCAACTATTTAAAGTTACATTAATATTATGACTAATATTTATAAATTAATACCTTTTCCTGCTTTTTGCTTTTTTTTCACTAAGATTATTATTACTATTATGAATATTGTTATTCCCACAATACATATAACTGTCATCACAACAATCACTATGACCGAGATATTATCTATTCCTAATGTGACAAAAAAATTATACAATACAAAATATCATGACTAAAAATGAGGTTTAATCAAATTAAATAACAATTAACTAACTATTAGTAATTAATATTTATTAGAGCAAATTTCTCATGATAAATTGCCTTGTATGTTGCTACAAACAATTAATAGTTTGTCATATGACCCCCAATTCCCCATGGTTATTTTCTGGCAAATTACCATGTCAAAAGTAGGAAATAGTTACAAGATTCCTACAAAACCTTGTAATGCTCATAACAATACTATGCATAGGTTATATACCGAGGTAGAGGTTTTATGGTATTAATTAACTGAGTGACGCAGTCGCAAGGTTAATAAATACCATAGAAACCGATACGGAGGTGTACATAACCAACTTCTACCATGACATTTGAAGCTGCTGATAATAAGACCACAGTTGACATACATGCAACATATCTAACAGGCTAGGCCAGTAAAGAATCAACCAAGCTTGACAAATGGACTGATAAGAGCATAAGAGTAGAGCGCCAGGTTTCTAAGTGTTTCCAGGAGGTATCTAATAGATTTAGAAACCTGGTATTCTGCAATCTGATTGGTCAATTGAAATTTGGCATGATAGAAAAATAATAATTTTACTTCAAAAATAACAACTCAATAAGTGAAAGCATATGTGCTAACCCATATACCTGATGTTGCTTCAGTTTGCATAATAACAGATGGTGTAATACTGCCTAATAATAATAATAATATTAGATTCTTGTATTATCTACATGTATAACGTGATACCTTCAGTGTAATCAATAACAGATGTATAGAGAGACATTACATGTATACTGCCTAATAAAATATAAATAATGAATTGAAAGACATTGAATATCTTACTAGTAATTGAGGAAGGAGTATACGTCTTCAACAAAATTGTCACAGCAATCGATTTAGGTGTTACACATGACCATGGTATAACCTTCCCTTCATGATCAATATCATAAGCAGTTACAGTATAGTATCCACTGGTTGACAATGATACTATAATATTATCTGATCCTGTTATATTAAATGATTCTTTTCTTCCATTAGTAGTATCAATAAATGTGACATGACACCCTTCAGCAGCTGATCCAGATGCATAAACACACTGTACACTTACTGAACCATCTGTATATTCTTCACTAGATATAATTAAATCTTGTACATTAGAACTAAATGTAGCTAAAACAAAGAATAAATGAACACTACATTTTATACTTATGGCTTACAAAACGAAAATTCAGTTTCATTTGACTCGTTGTTTATTGAAAAAATGTGAAGTATAACTGTATAATTCCTACATGGTCGTAATCCAAACATTCTGTATTCAAATACAAAATTGGTTTCATTTGTGGCTACAGACTGATAGTTTTCTTTCATCCCCTCATTTGGAATGACATTCCCAATAATTGTACGATTACATGATTGTGTGCTGTTTATCTAGCAAAGAAAGTAATTACAATTTCCTTGAAAATCAAATTTTGTGGATTTTGTGCTTTTAAGAATACTGTGCAATATAAATAATCATACAATCAAATTAAATCAATGATTTAATATTGATCCATCAACAAAACTTTAATGCACAAAAATTTAAAATAATCAACTTACAACAATTTTCAAGTTCACATTAAAGGTGTCATTTTTTTCATTGTACATCATTTTAAGATTTCCTTTAGTAATTGTATAATCTATACAAAAGAGTTAATAATGCATTATTGTCTCAATACTTTACTTGAAAATCTATCAAAAGTACATTGTCTCCCATATGATTCATATTGCACAACAGTTGCAATAATGCTGACATTAAAATCTTGACAGTCAATTTCCAATTCTGTAGTATTTAGCCACACACTAGTATCAGTAGTATTGATAACACTGATACCATCGATAAATACGTTATAAACAGTAATGGCATTGCCTCCAGAAATATCATCAGAATAGAAAGAAGGTTGAGACCAAGATAGCAGCTGATTGTCATTTGACCACTGTACATCTTCAACTAATGATACTCCTAATATAGAAAAATTACGTCATATTAAAGGAAGGGGATGAACAATTTTGACTTAACATGCCCAAATTTTTATTTATGTGAATGACTAATCATTTTGTATTCAAATGCATGTTGCATGTACATGTATG